TCAAGCGCCTCCTGCCTGGGCATCTGCCCAGTCTGCAGGATCTAAGGGCAGTCGGGCGACCTTGGCAATGATTTATGGTGTGTGCATTCCAATGAGATGAGAAAGCAGAGGAGGGGCTTTTTTTTTTTTTTTTCCTAAACAGCCAGAAGTGAACGCAAAGATCCTGCCATGGAGGCCACGGAGCAAGGCAGGGTGGAAATGGGCCATCCAACCCTCACCCTTGCTTGTGCTCTGTATCACGGAAGCAGCTCTTCCCCGGGTTGGGTGGATCCGAAGAGACAGGACAAGAGAGGAAAGAGGACGGGACCAGGGGGGAGGAGAAGGGTTGGTTCTGTAGTCAGGCTGCACGGGTTGGAAGCCTAGCTCCGCAACTCGCTAGCTGCTAAGCTTTGTGCAGAATGACTCCCCCTCCCCCAGCCTCAGTTTCCCCCCGTGCAAAGGGTACAACGATGCAAGCATCACAAGGGCTCTGTTAGGAGCCAAGGATGGGCTGCAGCAAGGCACTGGGCTTAGACACAAACACGAATAAGTGCTCAATAAACAGGAGTAGCTGTGTGGACTGTGCCCGTCACGCCCTTGTCCCCTGGAGTGCAGGACATATGCACTGTGTAGGAGTTGTGCACAGAAGCATTTTTTTGTGGGATGGCAGCTTTTGAAGCCAAGCAGAAGGTTAAAAAAAAAAAGATGATAGCAAAGATGGCTTAGGAATCAATGAATGAATGAGGTTTAGGATGTGCAAATCAGAGCCACAGTTCAGTCCCTTTTCCTCCCTCTCCCATTCACCACCTACACAGGCAGAGCGGCTTCTTACACCTGCTTTACCCCGGACTGAGGCCTGAGCATCTGCTTCCAAGTCTCAGTCTCTCTCTCTCTCTCTCTCTCTCTCTCTCTGGACCACTTTGAGCACCTGTTGTCTTCTGAATTTCAATGCCCATCATCTTTCAGGATCACAAAGGTCAAAGTCCCCATATGGTGTTGCCCTTCCCTCCAGCACCACCCACGGTATGGCCAGGGCTGTGACCTCTCTGGGGGCTCCAGGAGAAGATCTGTTCCCATGAGCTGCCCAAGTCCCCTGACTCCCAGCTGCCTCATCCATCTGCATGACCATCAGGATACCGCCTCCCCCTCCTCCTCTTCCTTCTCCTCCTTCTCCTTCTCTCTCTCTCCCCTCTCTCCCTCTCCCTTCCTCCCTCCTATCTTCCTCTTAGAAAGAACCCTAGAATAAGAATGAATTGACCCAGCTAATCCAAGATAATCTGCCCATCTCAAGATGCTTAATCTAATCACAACTCAATCTCCCTTGAGCCACATACAGGCACACATTCACAAGGCCCAAGTGCTGGGACACGGACACATGGGGATGTTGGTACTTGTCCTACTAAGCCTCCTTCCTTGCACCTGTACCAATCTTACTGGTTGTCCTTGCAGGAACAGGAAAGAACTTGACCCTGCACTTTTCCGTGTCCAGTGCTTCCACTGGAATGGTCCAAGGTGATGAAAAGTATGACCCTCCAGCCATTTTTCTTATTGACTTGTTGTAAAATATTTGCCTTTTTAAAAATGCTAATCTTTTCAGCAGGCAAGCTCTTCTCTTCTGCAACTTTTTTTTTCTTTACAGGAGCTTTACTTTATGACAAAATTTAAAATCAGTCTGCTGTTCTTACGGTTTGTGTCTAAATGTCTGCCGAAAGCCTCTTGCACTCATGAGGTTCTGGGCTTCTGGAGTTTGTGATTAATTCATGAACCAATACTAGGATTATGGATGTGAGTGCTACACCCACCCTAGGACAAGCAGTTTAACTGCAGTATAATGAAGGGAGAGTACCTCGCTCTCTGCCACTGCTCCTCCCTTTTTGCTTTTGCTGTTTTGCCATTTTCCACCGCCATGAACTGCTGCCCTTTGCCATGTGCCGCTCTGCCTTGGAACCCGCCAAGTATGGACTGAAACCTTCACAAACTATGAGCTAAACAGATCTTTCCTTCCCAAATTCTAGGAGTCAAGTATTTTGTCTCAGCAATGACAGAAAAATAACCAAAACAGTTGTGCTGCTTGCTCTTAATTCTCAAGGTAGACCTGGCTGAAAGTCCCTAACAGTACCCAAACCATGGCCTCAACATTGGGCTGCCTTGAAATTTCCTCTACTAGATTAATTAGTCCATCACCCTTAATCTCAGTCTCCCATCAAGTCTCAGGATATGAGCAAAATGCAGACAAGTTTTCTGCCAGACTAACACATGTCCTGGAATCCAACTACCCATAGAGTACCTGTTCTGAACTGAAACCTCCTGAGCCTTGTCTTTACCATCTGCCTTTCCATCAGCCTTTTGGTCTTCTGAGTTCTAACCAGAGCCTCCCATCAAACTCATTTTACAGCATCCTATGGCTGCATCTAGAGCCCAACCGCCAAGCCTTTCCGAACTACCATGACCAGTTCCAAAGGCTCCTGAGCCATAAAGTAGCATCATAGCAACGACCCTACTTCTCAGGTATCAAAATCCGTCTTAATTACTTCCCCAGGATGAGGAAGTACAAAATACCTTGCACCTATAACCTAAGGAAGGAAAGGTATATTTTGGTTCACATCTCAGCCCATGGTTGGCTGGTTCCAAGGAAGTCTTCCCCTACGTCCAACCACTCCTTCGGTAAGTCTTTCCTAGCTTTAAGGATGGTGCGTCTCTCTAATGAGCAGTTCCTTTGGCCCCATGGCTTCTCCCACCCTGCCTTCATCTTTCTCCTCCACCCTGATCTCCTATCTGCCTTTCAGTCCTTCTGTTTCTTAGTTTCCAAGCAAAGGTGACATAGTTGCCCCTCCAAGGCTGTCAGAAAGCCCACTCGTCCCTACACACTGCCTGCCCACACATCCCATCCCCACTGACCACCCAGACACAGCTGGCTCACAGGAGACATCTCTGAGCTTCCTCCCCAAGCTCCTCACCCCTATATCCTCCGCTCTACCACCTGGCATTACTTGGACATCTTTAGGTGACTCCTAATGCGACAGGAACACAACAAAACTCGTGACCTTTCCACCACCCACTCCCCTTTCCAGCATGCTCCATTTTGAAGGAAAGGCATCATAAGTGACCTGTGGGAGGAGGAGGGCCGTGGCAGGAGTTATCCTTGACTCTCTGGATTCCCTAGTCGAGGCCACAGAGGCCGCAGCAAGTCACAGCTCTCATCTCCCAAAGAGTTCACGAGCTGCTTCGCTGCCCAACTTTCTGTGGCCCGGGTCTCTACCATGCTTCCGGTGCCCCGGTGTCCTCCCTGGGACCCAGCCCTGGATTCCATTCCTGATCAATGCCCTGCCCCCTGCCCCCAAGCAGATTCCAGGCTGCGCCACAGCCACCCTTCAGGACACAAATGAGACCACGTCACTCTTGATCATCTACTATCTGAGAGTTTCTCACTGTCCTTACAATAAAGACCAAAGCCCTCCGACTGGCTCCCAGGCCCTGCACACTCAGTCTCCACCTTCTTCCAGGCATCTTCCGTTGGTGGCCCTCTGCTTCCTGCAGTGACAGCTGAGCAGCAGGAAGCCTTCTCTGGCTCTGGCCACACACTGCCCTGGCTGCTCACTCTCCCCAGCCTCACCCTCCTGCCCTCACCTGTCAGTCATAGTGACACGTATATTTATCTTCTTTGTGGATCCGTTACATCTACTATACAATAAGCTCTGTGAGGACAGGACTGACGGCTGACCCAGCCCACCGTGGTGCGGGCAGGACCAGCCAGCGACCTGCAGAGGCGGCACTCAGAGCAGGGTCATGAATGTGATAAACAGTGACCCCCACTGCCGTGCAGCAGTCAAGCTCAACTCCTGAGCATTGTCTTGGGAATCGTTCCTCCTCACAGCACTCTACCCACCCACCCATCTTCTCGGGGATTCTCCCTGTCACATGTCTCTCAGTATCTCGTAATCCAGCACCTGAATCCAAGCCACCACCTCTGTTTCACACAAACCCGCATCCCAGCCTCCTACCTGGGAACTGCACTTCCCACGCAGCAGCCTGGCCGTGTAACACCTCCACTAGGCCATATCAGGGGCCCTCAGGAGGAAAGATACACATTATCCTGGCTCAGGAAATGTACCAGGACAGCTCCCTGCTCTCCTCCACCAATTGCTTGCCACTACCTTTCGGGGTCTTCACAGCTACCACCACACCAGACGTTTCCAAGCTCCTCTTTTGGCTTCCAGGTCTGTGGGGAGCTTGCTTCCAGGTCCCTTGAAACCTTACCTGCTACTCATTCTTTAAGCGCCAGGCTAAAGGTAGCCTTCCACCAACCCCTTGACTGGTCAACAAGACTAGTAAGAGCTGCTGGTCACTGAGATCGCTAAGCCGAGCATAACTCCAGAATGGTATAACCCTGACTCATTCCAGCCTCCCCATCAGCCATCATTAGCCTGGTGCTACAGAACAGCAGAGAAACGTAAGGGACTTGTCCAAGGTCACATTCAACAGTAAATACCATGGCTGGCTCACACTACACACAGGCCGCAGACCCCAGAGTCTGAGGCACTATCAACACTGCCATGCTCCTCTGTGCTGAGTTGCCAGGGCAACCTACGTTTCCTTTTGGGGGCCACAAACACTGGTACTCACGCTTGAGCAACACCTCCCAAGACCGCCAGAGCCCTGTAGACAGGGCCCACTTCTGTCTTGTGTAAGACTTTGCCTCTAGTGCCCAGCACCCAAAACGATTGCTTTCAAGCCCAAATGCCATGTTCCAAGTCTCCACTGCCTCCAGCTCCAAGCCATCTGCCCCTGACAGGTCCACGAGACACACAGGTGGGAATCCATAGGAAATTGGCCCTGCATTTGCCTGGTGATTTACGGAGCTGCTGACACAGCCAATCGGCCAGGAGACAGGACAGCCAGATCTATCATCCACACATCCAGAGGTGGTGAAGCAGCTCTTGGGCCAGCATATGGCTCCCCCTGCTGGTTTTCTTCCATGTCCCTGGCCACCTCTTCCACAGAACAGCCCAGGAAACACTCACCAGCCATGAGAAGAAGCCAGCTGACTTGTCCTGGGTGGAGATCTGCCCCTCGTAGGGACCAAAGATGTGGCCCTTAGGGATGACCTCGTTTATGCACCGCACGTCGCTCTCTCCACCTGCTTCCTTGACCACCTCTATGCCCTGTGGGATGGTGAGGGCCGCCCGGTCTGGGATGCCCACGGGCACTGGTGTGTCAGACACAAACACCGGGGGTCCATGGTTGGGGCATTCGTCCACAAAGTACTCCTGGCAGGACTCGCAGACTGGACAGAGAGAAAGAAGAGGCAGGGTCTCAGCTGTGGTGAGAAGAGAGGCCTGTCTCCGAGAAGGCCTTGGAGCTGAGAGGTGGGCACCTGAGGACAGGGGGCAGTGAACTCAGGGCTCCCAGCCGTGATATCCCTCTCCCCCTAGAGACGGGTACAGTCACCCATTATCTTCTCAGGGAGTCACAGGATGTGCCTGCCATAAGCTCTGCATCCCAAGCTAGAAGATGGAGAAGAAGAGCCAGGCTTTGGGGTCTGAGTCATGTTGTAGTCTCAACTGCACATCTATGACCTGGGACAGAACACTGACCCTCTCCAAGCCTCCACGTTCTCGCCCAGAAAGAATGCCAACAACACCGTCTGAGGGAGGCTCGGCCATCGCTCAGCACCCACCCCAAAGTGCCTAGCCCTGTCCCTCTCTGGGTGAAGGGAGGAGCAGCCCAGAGCCTACAGCTCACTTACACCAGAAGTCCACTTGCTGGAAACTCTTGGGCATGATGAGGTCACGCTTCCCCTTCAGTTTCTTGGGCTCAACTTCCACGGCCAAGGGCTCTGGTCTCCTAGAGCTGGTCAGGTCAGGGGCCAGCAAAAAAAGCAGAGAAGCCATCAGAAGAAGAGTGCAAGGAGACAGGTTGGGGCCGCAGGAGCATGGCAGAGGAGCCTGCTTGCTGGCCTGCTATGGGGGGTGGGCAGCATAGGAAACTAGGGTCCTGTGACCCTGAGGCCTGCCCTGGGCAGATTACGAAAAGTGGGCAGGGAGCTGGAACTGTCCCTTGGGTCCCCAAGCCACCAGTGGAGCCACCCTGCACCTTGTCCCACTCTCCACACCCACACAAAGGCCTCACCAGGGCTGGCCATACTCCTGGTCTCGGAGCGGAGAGCACACCTCTGTCTTCACCACGGTCACCATGTCACCCACAGCCGCCTTGGACTGCGCCAGGCACTCCTTCATATTCTCAGTCATTCTGTCCTGGGGACGCGGAAGGCGGGACCAACACAGGGAGAGGATCAAAGAGACAGGGGAAGAGGGTGAGTGGAGGAGAGGGCAGGCAAGGGTCCCTCGGAGTCTGGTTACCCTCCCTGCATCCCCAGAGGAAGCTCTGGAGAACACAGACAACAAAAACAGCTGTAGCCCTGCCAAGAGGAAATGCCATTTCTATCCCGGGCTGGTCCTAGGGACGACTGGAGCCACCGGCCCCATGGGGTCAGGGACCAGGGCAGCTCGGGCCAGGAGGCTGGGCTGGGAAGCGCTGTTTGGACCCCAAGACGAAGGGCAAAGGGCACGAGGCGCCCGCAGGAACCTGGGCATTAAACTCTGCAAAGCGGATCCTCGAGGGAAGAACTCGAGTCCAACTTGGGCCAAGGGGGTGGGCCCAGGGCCGGATCTCGGCGCCTAGACCTGCGGCGCGGGCGACAAGGGGCAGGTACGGGCGGGGCTGCGGTGTGGGGTGGGCCGGCCCGGCGCCCCGGCTCCAAGCCCCACCTCCTCGATCCGGGCAGCCTCTCCGCTCCACGCTTACCGCCCTCCACCACCACGCTGGGCTTCAGGCCCTCCCTCGGCACCCCGGGCTCTTCATGCCAAGCCCGGGGACACTCTTCGGCGGGGACAGCGCGCAGCAGCTCGGGCTGGGATCGCGCTGGGCCCCGGGACTGGGCGAGGGGCGGGTGTGACTCACAACCCGGGGCCCCGCTGGCCACACCCCTGCTCCGCGGCTAATCAGCCCCCTGCTCCCCACCGGGGCCCCAAAGCCGCGGGCTTCGGGGAGGGGTTTGGGGAGGCAAAAGGCCGGCCCCCTCCCCCGAGCCCGCGGGGCCGGGGGCGCGCGCAGGGGCCCGGAG